TGTGTGTGTGTGTGTGTGTGTGTGTGTGTGTGTGTGTGTGTGTGTGTTTCAAGTTATGGTTTCTCTTTCTAGCCCTGGCTGTCCTGGAACTCACTCTGTAGACCAGGCTACCCTCAAACTCAGAGATCTGCCTGCCTCTGCCTCCCAAGTGTTGTGATTAAAGGCGTGCACCACCACTGCCCAATGAATAGTGGGTCTCTGAAAAAGGGAACTCCTTAGGCTGCTATGGATGACAACATGGAGTTTTGCCTCTGTCCCTGCCACCACATGGGACCTCATGTACTTTCTCCACTGTGCAGAACCTTGTAGACAGAGACTGTCCTCTGACTTCTGACTGCCCCTGGATTATGTGACATCCATGAGCTGTGATATCTTCGTCTAAAACCCATCTGCTTCAAAGCCTTTCAGAAAGGCTTTCAGAGTCAGGCTATGCCTGAATTCTCCTGGACTTGTATGCAAGAACTTGCTCCAATTTTGGTGAAGAAATGCAAACAATGGGCAAATGTTAACTCTGATCTGTGCGCAGACACCAATCCTTGCTCCAGGCTGACTGCCTCTGTGCCACTGCTGGCACAGTCACGGTTCCGTAACTCCCACACAAACATCAAGAACTTTCAACCCTCCTTCCTCAGTATGTCCTACCACTCTGGAGTCAGTCAAGGACTCCAGCTTTTCTCATCCCCCTCTCCGACCCACCACTGGACTACTATGCCTGTGGTGCTTAGAATATGCTTGGCCCAGGGAGGGGCACTATTAGGATGTGTCCCCTTGTCAGAGGAAGTGTGTCACTGTGGGAATGGGCTTTGAGACCCTCCTCCTAGTTGCCTGCAAGTCAGTCCCTTGCCGGCTGCCTTCAGATCAAGATGTAGAATTCTCGGCTCTTCCCCAGAACCATGTCTGCCTGGATGTTGCAATGCTTCATGCCATGATGAAGATGAACTGAACCTCTGAAAATGTAAGCCACCTCAATTAAATGTTGTCCTTTATAAAAGCTGCCTTGATCATAGGTGTCTCTTCACAACATGAAACCCTAAGGCAATGCCTTCCCGTCATCCAAATGGCTATAGTTATGAATGGGATAGATAGCAGCCAACATTATGCTATTAATGTATATATCAAAACATAGGTCTTTGTACCTTAAGTGTAGACAATTAAAATGGTCAGGCTCAATGGTGCATGCCTGTAGTCCCAGCTACTTGGTATTCTTGTAGCAGGGCCCAAGACTTTAGTAAGCCCCAAGGCCTTGTCACGACTGACTCCATGACGGAAGTACCATTCAGGCTGTAAAACTCAGCACAGGGACAGCACCAAAGGCCAAAAATAAAACAAAGACCTGATCCATCAAAGTCTATAGTAATGTAAATGTCTCCAAATGTACTAACCTTGCTTTTTGTCTTCTGTAGTTCTGTTTCTGGCTAACTGTTCTTGTTAACTGAAGTAGGTCAACCCGGAATATGGTTTTTGTGCTTAAAAAGAAGACCCTGAGAAAGGCTTAGGGATCTGAACACCCAGTGTAGCCACCAGCTAGCTAATAAAAACTTTCTATTGGAGTAAACCCATGTCTCTGGTAGATACCCCACACTGAGACAAGAGAACTGCTTAGCCAGGAGCTTGAGGCCAGCCTGGGCAACATGGTTAAACCCTGTCCCAAAAAGAAAGAACCCCAGGATTCAGGAGGAAGAGGCAAGTGGATGGATCTCTGTGTCCAAGACAAACCTTGTCGATACAGTGAGGTCCAGACCATCCAAGGATAGACAGTGAAACCCTGTCAAAAACAAAAGAAAGAAGAAGAGAGAAAAAGAAACCCTGGGCATGCTGACACATGTTTACTCTCAGCACTTCAGGAGGCAGAGGCAGGTGCATCTTTGTGAGTTACAGAACAAGATGACACAATAAGGCTGTGCTTTAAAAAAAAAAAAAAAGGATGGAAGGAAGGGAGGGAGGGAGGAAGGGAGGGAGGGAGGGACAGAGAGAAAGAAAGGGGAGAGGGGGAGGGGGAGGGGGAGGGGAGGGAGAGGGAGAGTTAAGCAAACGGTGAAA